AGGCCGTGGCGGCACGCCATGCACCGCCGACGGCGTTGTGCCGTTCCTCGACCGAATCACATAATCTCTCGGCAATTCACATATATAGAACTTAAACATGACTTGCTGAACATAATATCTCATAATGGTCGGAAAGCTTGAACATAACATGCAATAGTACTCGGGTGGCCCGTGGTGCGCACTAGGTGTGCGACCACACCCCTCTCGGCCAAACTCCCGATAACATGGCTAATCATCCGAACACTTAAGCAAATTTAAACATGATATAGCATATAAAAGCTAAGCATGCAATAATGGTCGGAGAAAAATAACTTGGAACGTGACATGATGGTACGGCCATGGCTACGGCTACGCACGGCTATTAACATAAACGCGCATGCATGACAATTAAATCTAATCTTAATTAAACATGATATTCTCGGACAACAATCGACGGGAACTTACCTCTTGCAAGCCCTAGGGACTAACTCTCGAACTTTCGTGCGATGCCGTGCGATGGTGTGCGATGCGTGCGTGCTCTCGAGCTTCCGTGCGGGTGGCTTGCGGCGTGCGGTAGCGTGTAGCTTGCGGTACTCTCGGCCAAACTCACGAACAATCCTCACAAAACTCACAACCCTCACTATCTCACTCTCGGCAATAGAAATTTGGGCGTGCACGAAGATGGAAAATATCTCCAACACTCCCTCTATATGCGCGGCCGAAAGACTAAAAGGGTCAAGGCCTTAAGACACCTCTCCCCCATGCATCCGAAGTTTGGCCACTTGTCAAGCATGCCCACCCTTTTCTTGGCCTTAAGTGGTCACGGGAATGCACCAAGGAATATGCTCGGACATTGCACCAACATGCACGACATTTTAAAACAAAATGCACGAAGAACAATACCACACAAACTCCCACGGCACATAAGGACAAGGAGGGGAGCATCTTGGACAAAAATCTAGCAAAATGCCAAGGAAGGGCGCACGGTCTTCCACAAGCCCTAGGATTCTCCGCCCACTAGCATGCGCGCGGATTCTCTCGGACGAACACACACGCACACAGCACTCGCATGAACATGAACCGAGTAACGTACGGCAATGGCACATGACTTAGGAGCAAAATACTAACACTTAGCACATAAATGAATGCACACGGCAATAAGCTTAAATGGATTAAGAAAAATCCGAACATAATAATAACACTAATCTCGTGATTAATGTAAATTAATCACTTAATTATGTCTAATTATCCAATTAAACATAATGCTTAATTACCAAAATTATTTCGAACGTAAACGGTACGTCGAAAATTGTTCCGGTAATTCCGACTGAAATAACTGAAAATAATTAATTCCGAAAAATACTTTCGGAACTAAAATATTATTACACTGATACAAGTCGGGATATTACATTATCTACCAGTACCTGGTGTGTAGATACGGGGGCCACTGATCATGTCTGCAATTCATTGCAGGGGTTCCAGGAAACCAAGCGACTTAGGGAAGGAGAGGTTACCATCTACTTGGGCGATGCTAGTAGAGCGTCAGCAGTTGCAGTGGGAGACGTCTATTTAGATTTTGGCTTAGATAGGTTTCTAGTTTTGAAAGATTGTCTTTATGTTCCCAGTTTTAGAAAGAATTTGATTTCGGTTTCTAAGTTGTTTATGAACGGTTTTTCCGCTACGTTTGATAATAAAGTTTTTATTTGTTTTGGCAAAAAGTTCATATGCTCTGG